TATATGCTTAGAATAGCTTATTTTGACTAAAGTTAGGCATAAGGACTAGTTTTGATTACATTTGTTGTAAATAGCAAAATATTGACAATTTTAGCTCATTTCGGTGATAGTTTGGAAGAATAATCATATCTGGACCTAGGAGTGTCCTATCAAGGTGATTCAGGTGGCCATGGATCGGCATCGAAAATATCTACAACTTTCATGAAGACCACGAAGGACAATTCAGACGTCTAAATAGTCAAAATCAGTGAAGACCACGTCAGGATTCCCAGTCACGCGAGAGTAAATGGGAAATAATAGGCTTTTTGGAGAGTTTTAATGCTGAAATTTCAGGTCTAGATCTATCATTCTTCATTGTTCATTTTGCAATATTTCTCTCTCTAGAATTTTAGGTTAGATTAGGTTAGAATTCTCACCAACTTCTCTCTAAGATTAGCTCTCAAATTTGTAAGAAGAAGATGTGGATTCAAGCAAATCTTGAGTGGATCTTCATCTTCTATTTGGATTGTTGGATAATCTAAGCTTTGCAATTTGGGTAACCTTTAATCTCTACTCTTTAATTGCTTTACTTGTTTTTACCTATTTTGCTATGTTTGGGTTATTTAGCTTGATCATGAGTAGCTAGATCTTTATTTGTGAATTGGATCCTTTTGCCTTGTGTAGAATATGTATTGATCTAGTTTGTGTGGCTATGTGTTGATGTCTTGTTGTAAGGAGACATTGTATGGACTCTTGTGTATGGTGTACAACATATGCTTGAGTTTTGAGTAGGATTAGGTCTACAAGAGATTGTGGCTTAATCCTAAACTTGTCTTCCTTGCATTTCCCTTCTCTAAGATCCGAGAGGCCGAAGATTGGAATGAGATGTAGACAAGGTGTTTGTTGAAATGCTCATAAGGAACGTGGTCACGGAATGGTGGTTCCACACCTATGAAAGACCTAGTAACCGAGAGGTGAATGGCACTGGAAGTCATCTCACATGACTCGTTCAACACTAACCGCACTCCTTACCTACGTCTATACTTTTAACGGCATTGCACACACAAGGGATTGGGCAAACCGAGTTTACAACATATGCGTGTTTGGGGATGCCCGTCTGAAGTGAGGATATATAACCCACAAGAAAACAAGTTGGACCTGAGGACTATTAGTGGTTTCTTTATTAGATACGCACAGTCCTCCAAGGGGTACAGATTTTATTGTCCATCTAATTCAACCAGGATTGTGGAATCAAGAAATGCTAAGTTTCTTGAAGATGACATGATTAGTGGGAGGGATCGGTTCAATGATTTGATTTCTAATCATGATCATATTGAATCATGTCCCTCTACGTCGTCAGATAGGTTGATAATAGTTTCAAGCACCCCTCAAGTTCAAACGGGTATTGAACAACCTATTCAAAAAGTTTCACAAAATGAAGATATTATTCCTATAGATCAACCAATTCAAGAAATTCTTGAAGTCGTAGTTGAACTGCTAACTTCTCAAGAAGATGGTAGTTCAACTTTAAGGCGATATACTCGAGAAAAAAGACCGGCAATTCCTAGTGATTATATAATGTATCTGCAAGAGTATGATGTTGGAGCCGAAAATGACCAAAAAACTTTTTCACAAGCCATAAAATGTAAAGAATCAGATTTATAGTATGAAGCCATGAAGGAAAAAATGAGTTCCATGTGGCGCAATAGGGTTTGGGACCTTGTTGAGTTGCCTAATGGGGCCAAGGCCATTGGCTGTAAATGGGTAGCAACATCGAACGATACAATGCTAGGCTCATTGCTAAAGGGTTTACTCAAAAAGAAGGAATCGACTACACGGAGACATTTTCTCCTGTATCAAAGAAAGATTCACTTCGTATAATTTTGGCTTTGGTTGCACATTTCAATCTTGAATTGCAACAAATGGATGTGAAAACGACATTCCTTAATGGTGATCTAGAAGATGTGGTTTATATGAAACAACCTAAAGGGTTCTCTTCTAGTGAAGATGGGCATTTGGTTTGCAAGCTCAAAAAGTCCATCTATGGTTTAAAACAAGCTTCCCGCCAATGGTATATCAAGTTTGACGGGGTCATTTCTTCATATGGATTTGTTGAAAGTTCCTTAGATCACTGCATATACCAAAAGACAAGTGTGAGGAAAATTTGTTTTCTTGTTTTATATGTGGATGGCATTTTACTTGCAACAAATGATAAGGGAATGCTGCACGAGGTTAAGCAATTCCTTTATAAGAACTTTGATATGAAAGATATGAGCGAGGCATCTTATATCATTGGCATAAAGATCCATAGAGATAGATCCCAGGGTATTCTGGGACTATCGCAGGAAACCTATATCAACAAAGTCTTAGAAAGATTTCGGATGAAGGATTGTTCACCGAGTCCAGCTCCTATAGTGAGAGGAGATAAATTCAGTTTGGACCAATGTCCAAAGAATAATTTTGAAAGAGAATCCATGAAGAATATTCCTTATGCTTTAGTTGTCGGGTGCCTTGGGTATGTTCAAGTCTGTACTAGGCCGAACATCGCCTTTGCTATTGGAATGCTGGGACGATATCAAAGTGATCCGGGTTTAGACCACTGGAGAGCTGCAAAGAAGGTTTTAAGGTATCTCAAGGGTACCAAGGATTATAAGTTTGTATTCAAGTAGACGGACATTTTGGACATCGTTGGATATTCTGATGCGGACTTTCCCGGTTGTGTTGATTCTCGGAAATCAACTTTGGGAAATATTTTTATCATGGCCGGTGGAGTTGTTTCATGGAGAAGTGTTAAACAAACTCTTGTCACCACTTCAACCATGGAAGCCGAGTTCGTTTCATGTTTTGAGGCTACATCTCAAGGTGTATGGCTTAAGAATTTCATTTCGGGGATTAGAGTTATGGACTCTATTTCTAAACCCATTAAAGGTTTATTGTGACAACTCAGCTGCAATCTTCATGGCTAAGAACAATAAGAGTGGGAGTCGAAGTAAGCATATCGACACTAAGTACTTGGCCATCAGGGAGCGTGTTAAAGATAAGAAAGTGGTCATTGAGCATATAAGCATTGAGTTGATGATTGTTGGTCCCTTAACTAAAGGCATGCCACCATTCAAGTTTAGGGATTTTGTTGAGAAAATGGGACTTGTGCCCATTTTGTAAAATTTGTATACATACAGTTATTTTATGAAATTCTTAAAGCATTCAGATATTTTCTCGTTATTGTATTGTGCACATTTTGTTGAGAAAATATATATCTTTTGGACTTGGAATAAACATAAGGTTTATCCATAAAAGTTTTTGGTCACCACATAAAGTACTTAGAGAACAAGTTGCATTGTAATTATAGTAGATACTACTCGTATTAAGAGGACATATCTCTATAGTTCATGTTTTTTGTTTATTTAAGTTTGTACTTGCACCAAGTGGGAGAATGTAACGTTTTCCATTTAGGAAAACTTAATGGTGCAAGTCATTATGGCCTTTAGTGGTCAATAAGTGGTGCCATAATAAGGAGCTGTAACGGTAACCGTTACAAAGCCTATATTGATAGCATACATGCTATATAAGCAAGGGTCCCCCACTGCTCAGGTTACTGTCTTTTGACATAAACTATACACCATATATATTGAACTTGAGAGCAAGTGGGAGACATTCTACAGAAACACCAAGGCAAACTACAGCAATTACAAGGCATTACAAAAGAACAACTATGGCGGGAGGTTAGTTTAGTTTACTATTTCTTACAATAAGTTGTTATAGTCCAAACTAGGTTCTTGTTGGTGTTTCGGATGAATAAGCCAATTAACCACAAAAATAATATATATAACGAAAAAGATAAATTTTATAATCCTGAAGATTATAATATATAATCGAGTATACACTCTTTCCTTAAAACTAATTCCTCACCTTATATATATATATATATATATATATATATATATATATATATATATATATATATATATATAGAGTCAAGTATACACTATCAAATCTCTCCTTAAAACTGATTTCTCACCTCCCGAAGGTGCTAGGAGCGTTGTGATATCGGTTTCCCAGGATAAAATGGATCAACGATACTATGTTCGAACACTCAAACAATAGTACCTTCGCCTAACTAGAACAAAATGCTTGAACACAAGCTAATTTTCAGAAGAATGGGCAGAGTTTCGGGAAGAGATAAGACCACGTTTCTAAAGAGAAATCTAATTTTTCTTAGCTAGTGGCTTACATATAAAATCATTGCCCAAACGTGTAGGTTATATAGGGGATGAAATGAATAATAGCTTTCATGGCATAATAAATTCATATTAAATAATTGGATTATACCGTTTGAAACGGTCCTATTTAATATTAGATATAATATTTGCGGTTACAAAATTAATATACAATTAATTTGTATCGACCATAATGACATGTTTTAAAACACTTGAGGGACCAAAAAGTTTGTACGTCCGAAATAACCATTCGGAATTAACCAAGATGACAAAGAACATCTGAATAGTTATAACCGACTGCACCATTCTGTGCTTCTAATTTGGCTCCATTCGGTGTGCTAATTCACGTAATTAAAGTGCTTCTTTAATGGGCTGTTTGGTTCACAGAATAAATTTGGAGGGAATAGAAATGCTATTTCATTGGGAATGGAATAGGTAAGGAGTAGAATACAAATTATATTCTATTGTTTGGTTCGTGGAAGGAATAGACTTTAGGAATTGTATTCCAACGTTTGGTTGGTTAAGGAATAGAAATGGAATATATGTTTAAAAGACCTAAATACCCTTGTACAAAATATATGTTTTCTCTTCCTAATTAGCAGCCACAACCACCTAGAACTTCTCTCCCTCTCGTTTGGCTGGCGGAGCAGACGGCGGCGGGGTGAAGGTCCGGCGTAGCTACCACCAGCCACCTTCTTCATGCTTTCTCTTTCTCCCTCCATCGTTGCTCCTTCTCTCTCTCTCTCTCTCGACGTAACCAGCTACGAAGTAGGTGACCAAGTCCGGCGGTGGTTCCAGCGACGAATGAGCAGGGCAGATCCGACGATAGCCCGAGCTTCTCTCCCCACTGGCGGCGTCCTTTGGTTTTTCGGCGAATGGCAGGCGCGAGGTAAGCAACTGACACGAGGGGGACAGCTCAACAGATCTGACGGTGGTGGAGCTCATTTATGCTTTTTCGACGTCTGGGCGGTGGAGTCCGTTGAAGGCGAGCAGCGGCGATGGCTGAGGTCATCACGAGGGGGCAGCATATCGGCATTATCGTCGCCGGCTAGAACCAGTAGATCTGGGAGAGGCCAAGGTTGTGTTTCTGGACCATCAAACAACGAATTGCAGACTGAGGTAATTATTAGTATTATTTAGTCTTCTCCAAATTCCTATCAACTTTAATAAGAATTTTTTATTTAATAATTATTATATTATTGCTGGTGTATTTCTTATATATTATTATATATATAAAATAAATAACAATTGAGGGATAAAATTGGAAATAATAATTTTAGGTTATTCCTGCGAACTCAGGAATAGCCTAATACCTAAAGGGGCAGGAATCTCTATTCCCTTTGCAATGGGAATAGGTCATTCCCGGGAACAATATATGTTCCTGGGAATACAAGTGGTTACCAGGAATATGTCTATTACTAGGAATGCTATGGCATTCCAGACCTATTCCGTGAACTAAGCAACCCATAAATCTCAATTAAATAGCACATTAACACCTCACGAATGGCTTAGTCACAAGCTAAGTAAATTATCATTAAAATTACAATCTTAATATAACACCTTCATAACCCAAAAGGGTAGCTCAAGTGGCAAATGAACTCTCTTTGTGGGGGAGAATTTTCAGGATAACTCGGGTTCGATAATTTTCGTGATAGCCTGGATTCGAAGAAACCATTCGGTGCCTTTGCTAATTTACAAGCACTTCTCAGAAATAGGTTTACTTTGAGAATCACCCGAATTCATTTTGTCCCGACCCAAATCAAGTGGACCGTGCATATATTTGTACCACAAAATAGCCACTCAAAAATACCATTTTATGCTAAAAATTCTAACAATCCCCACATGAATGAAAATTGATTTTCAGATTGAAAAAACGACACGACTGTGTTCAAGGGTCAATTACCCTTTGAACCTTGCCTTGTGAGGATACTTTTACTATACTGGCGGTTCGGTAGAACCTGATGTCTTTGAATCGATTGTCGTTTGTGTAGACGATGACATATCCCACACATGAACCTTTCAACCTTTGTTCTGTTCTCATGAGTGTGCCCGTTTTATTCGTAGGTCACTGTTCCTGGTACTACAAGAGTTTCTAAAGAATTGAGCCCAATCAATTCTCATTTAAAGTGACCCTCACTTCTCTCTCACATAGGTGATTCTTTTCTGAGTATCCTGCATACTCACACATGTCAACCTCGTGCAGGAGTCAATGTTCTAACAAGGAGTGGTAGGGAGTCCGAAACCCCCACAGTGACACGCTTCGTTCCATAATTTAGTTGTCCCATTGAGCCTAAGTTCCAGCTAGGTTGGGTATCCACTAGAACTTTTATTCCAAGTGCTTTAGTCTCATTCCTCATTTCAATTTCTCTAACAACTATTTGCTTACCCTCAGGTTAGCGGCCACTATGTTATCCTCTACTTCCTGATAGTTCAAGAACTAGTACTGCGTAATTTGTCATTAGTGTGTTAAACTTCATTGAGTTCATTATTGGGTGGTGTAACTAACTCTAGGCCATTCACCACTCAGGAATTATCCCCTAAATTCAGAATTTTCATCCCAAAGGAAACAAAAGTAATGAAGATAAGGGAAACACGGAGTTGCATTAAAAAGCATAATATTAACCATGTGCAGGTGGAATCAGATGCACTCCAGGTTATACAAAGTTTAAATAAATAGAGGAAGTGTCTTCCTTTGATTTTAATGTTTCTTGATGTTAAAAATATACTTTGTTTTTATAACTATTTCTCATGTTAGTCGTATTGCAAATAAGGTAGTTTATATTCTAACTAAGGAAACTTATTCTATGTTTATATGTCAGGAGTAGAAATTTGTTCTTTCTTCTTTTGTTGTCAACGAATTATACTATGATTTGAATTAATTATATGGCCTATTTCCAAAAAAAGAGTGAAAACATATTTTGTTGGCACATAGGTCACGCAAGTATTTTGCGAGAAAGAGAAAAGGATATTCCGGAAATCCCATTAGCACATTCACTATCTCACGTGCTAATGTGCTATGGTAGTCCCATTCGTGTACAGCCTCTTTTTAGCGTTCTCCACACAAACCTCGAAGCGGCAAAGCGCCAAAAGCCTCCAATTTCTTGCGCTCTCCATCCCCGATTCTTCCTCCGTTTTCGATGCATTCTGCCCCCAATCGTTCGCATGGATTCTGTTGTAATAAATTTGCCTCCACCACCCTCTAGATTCAACCTTCCTAACTCCTTCTTGAGAGTACACAAGCCCAAAACGTTTGGAGTATCACCCATCACCGCTTCACAATTGAATCACCAAAACCCCTACTTACAATGCGGAAATCACACCTCAAACCGAAAACCCTTTTTGCTTCTTGTCCCGATTTTGAAGAATTTGGAGGATTTCGCGTCGAAAAACAACTGGATTTCGCCGGTGCTTCAAACTCCGGGGGAGGAATTCGGCGGGGAGTTGTTGCAGAGTGGGGGCTTTGGAATGGCTTTGCTGAGCATAACGGCGACGGCGGGGGTCAAAATTAGTCCATTCGTAGCTACGCTAGCGGCCAACCCGACATTTGTTTCCGGGCTTCTTGCGTGGTTGGTGGCGCAGTCCAGCAAGGTTTTCCTGAAGTTCTGCGTGGAGAGAAAATGGGATTTTAGGATGATGTGTGCCTCTGGTGGGATGCCTTCTTCGCACTCGGCTCTGTGCACGGCATTGACGGCTTCGGTAGCGCTTTGCCACGGAGTAGCCGACTCTTTGTTCCCAGTTTGTTTGGGTTTTAGCTTGATTGTAATGTACGATGCTATCGGTGTTCGACGCCATGCCGGGATGCAAGCGCAGGTAATTAGGCTGTGTTCTTTTATAAGACCATGTTTGTTTCGGTTTACAAGCAATAATTTGAAATTCAGTGACTCTAAGAATCAACAATCTCAATTTTTTGGGCAATCACAGTCAATTTGGTAATAAATTTGACGGGTTTGTGAAAAAACCCAAGATTTTAGAGGCAGTGAATGTAAGAAAACCACATTTGTAGATGACTAAAAGGACAACAAAGAAATGCATTGAGGTACTTGTACTTATGAATTAATGTTGGGTGTGACTGATGGAGCAGCAAAACAGGTAACTCTGCATAGGATGAGAATGGCATTTTGGGCAATTTGATAGTTGGAGGGCACAGTTTAGAATTAATGTAGTTTGTGACAAAAGGTGTAATGACAGGTAACTTTGAGTAAAATGGGGAGAACTCTTGGAAATTTGAGTAGGTAAATAATATAATATAGACTATATAAAGGAAAAACTCTAAAGAATTTTCCTAGATATATTTGCAGTATGCAATCTTGTGCTTTTCCTACACTAAAATCTCTAGATTAGAAACTGGGTAACATCAAGAACCCGGAAATAGAACTCTGAATATGGATGCAAAGCGGTTACTTTTCTTAGTGAAGAAGGGGTATAAACTATAAGGGGGCGTTTGGTTCAGGTTATATAAGATAACCAAGGTTATATTTGCTTGGTAATATAAGATTCCCATGTTTAGTTCAGGTTATATAACTTTCCTAGGGAATGTCAGATAACCTCCGTATTAAGTTTTTAGCTATTGGAAGGGAATGTGAGATACACTCCAATTTCTTAAGTAATCTCACATTCCCTTGTCTTATTACTAATGTTGGGCTTTGTATTTTTTAATCAATTTATCTTATTATGGTTGTCTTATTTACATATCTTAGTTTTAAACCAAACACAGTAATCTAACATTACCTAAGGCTGAGGCGTGTAGTTATAGTATACTGAGAATAATGCTTTATCTGCTCATGTGTTTTTATACCCTCCAATTATTTTCAAGCATTAGAACAGTCAAATTTGTCAATTTGATCCATGTTTACTCAAAACTAAGTATGATATTGATGTATGGTCTACACAAAGATGTCAACTTTATAACTGAATCCGAGTCTCTTTAACTCAGGTTCTAAATTTGATTGTTGAGGATTTATTCAAATGGCATCCTATGAGTCAAAGAAAGCTCAAGGAACTGCTTGGGCACACCCCATCCCAGGTCATTGCTGGAGCTGTGCTTGGTGTTTTGGTTGCTTGTATATGCTGTCAAGCATGCTCTATTGCAATATGATGCGTATTTCACCAGCTATTCTGTGATCATATAAGGCCAAGTATTTTGTATGTATGTATCATGGTTTAGCTTTTGAAGGTTAACCAGCGAAACTATATATGCAAATGGGGGACAATGATATATAGTGTATTTTTCAAAAGATATTCATGGTACATACTATATAGCACACATAATGACTCTATTTAGTGGTATATGCAGTAATTAGAGCAAATTATATCATGGACTAGGTTTATAAAAATAAGGATGAATGTTCATTTTAATCCTTCAATAGAATAGCTAACTAAGTTTTAGTCCCTAATCATTTAGTCTCTCATTTCAAATAGCTGTTAAAATTAATGGGTGATTGAAGGATAAACATATAAATTCATCAATTTTCTTATAAAACACACATCAAATAATAAGTGAAACATATTTTAAGTCAAAAACATAATGTCCTATTTTTGTTTTCTCAGTAAATTTATTTAAATATTCCTTAATAAATAAAATAATTATATAGCTAAATGTTTTTAAATATTTCACTATTTGAATCCATCTGTATAGTTAATATTTTAAAAATAAGAATTATTAAAACACCAAATATTCCAGTTTACTAGAGACATAAAAAAAACATAATAACAATAAACCTAAGTCCATAACTAAAAATACAAACAACGTGTGTATTACTACATATTAGAATCGTAGAACAGAGCATATAAACATTAAATTAGGTTTAATAAATGGAAAGAAGGATGAAGAAGTAGAAGTAGACACACTTTGGTTTTTATCTCTGCAACAAAGGGGCAGAGAGTTGAGCGGAGGACTGAGTGACGGACTGCGTGAGCGTAGACAGTAGACTGATTTGGGACTTACGACCTAGAGTTGAGGTTTGAAGACTTGAGAAGTTGATGTTATTAATTATAATAACAATAATAACAATAATAACAATAATAACAACAACAACAACAACAACAACAACAACAACAACAATAATAATAATAATAATAATAATAATAATAATAATAATAATAATAATAATAATAAACAGTATGAATGCAGAATGGAGCTGAAGGAAGGAAGATGAGATAGATTTGTATATATTCATTCGTATTGAAGATTTAGTTCAATATGTACTGAATGTAAGTATTGACACAAATGTACCTATAGTTTAATGGGTAAGGCTCTTAGTTGATAGTTAGGGGTTCAAACTTCACCTTGGACATCTACTTCATTTCATTTGTTTCATAACATGTGTATATTAATTATAAAAATAAAAATACAAAAAATCGAGTGGTTTCGATTTCTTTAAACCAAGTACCGAAACGTCCAGTCCTACTGGTAATAAAGTGAAAAAATATAGTGCTTTTAAGTAAGTCAAGCAAATTTTGATTCTCTTAATTGTAGTTACTAAGGTTGGTTTTAATTTTAGTTACTATGGTTTTTTTTATTAGGTAGAAGACATTGTCTGTACTATGCACTATTGTAAAAATCGGCCTTGGGCGCCTAAGCGGCGAAATCGGTCAAAATTGGCCTAGTTGGTCAACTCGGCCGAGTCGATCAATTTCGTTTGATTTTGACCGATTTCGTCCGATGTCGTCTGGTCCAGCCGTCCGTAGACTAGTTTGATACTTTGAATCTTTGGATGATTGAAGTATTTGAGTATTTTATATTTGAGTATTTTTATTTTTTAATATTGTTTTGATGTTATGACTTATGAATTGTAATTATTTCATTTATTTGGATGTGTTATTTGATTGAATGTTGAAAAAAACTTCATTAAAATTGTCAAATTACAAATCTGCCATTATTATTTTGCCGCCCGCCTAGGCACTAGGCACTGCCCGGGCGCTCGACTAGCGCCTACTGCAACCATGATACGTTGGTTGTTTAAAGATATTGGAGTCTACTGTGCATTTTGTGTTTAGCTTTATCAATGTTGCAGGTGTACTGTGTTTTCTTTTTAATGTAGTTATATCTACTTTTGGCTTGGCTATAAGTGTTGGAATACTAACATCAACTTTACCTTTAGTCATGAAAGTGTTGACGCTACTTATTTTGTTAGAATTCAGGTTTTTTTGGTTATAAATATAACCGATCTATAGACTATAGTACTATCTTCTAGTACATTGGCTTTTCTTGTCATTTATATTGTATTATGTTAAAGATAACACCGTCAAAGTCGTTGTAGTATAATGGTGAGTATTCCCGCCTGTCACGCGGGTGACCCGGGGTTCGATTCCCGGCAACGGCGTTTTCTATAATTTTTGGATTTCTTGCGTTTAAAGATAAACTAAAATTCCGACCTGCCGGATTCGAACCAGCGACCTAAGGATATCAGCCAAGAACGACTCCAACTACAGTCCTCCGCTCTACCAACTGAGCTAAGGTCGGATATGTGTTAGAGTTCCCAACAGGATTCATTTATTAATTAAAAATAGGACCAAGAACCAAGACTACTAATGCTGATTTGGTGGGGGACTCGAAGCAAATGCCACTGTAGGGAGCTACGCGTCCTCTACGACGTCCTTCTATTAAGTGCCAAATTTCGGATTATTTTAAAAGTAAACAGAGATGTTAATCGTTAGCAACCAATCATATTAGTATTTTTTTTTTATAAAATATAAAATAACTGTTGTGAATAATACTAATAATAAAATAATAATAACAATACTAATATTATGAAGTAGAAGGGGAACAGCAGTACAGATGGGAGAGTTGAGAGAATATGATTTAGCTTTTCATATATTCTGCATATCCAAGATCATGGAGGGAAGGGGTATTTATAGTGTTGAGATTTAGGAGGTAATAAATATTAAATTCGCATAAGGTGGACAGGTAGCAAAGCTAGCCTAGTTGGTAGCTGAAGATGAAGCGTTGCTGTGTCATGCTTGAGGTCCTGAGCTCCATTCCCTGTTGCTGCTTCTTGGAACTTGCAATCAGCTTTTTGGAGAATTATGAACCACCATTTAATGTGACTTAGCAGTAAGTATTACTTATGGTCGAAGTAGCTTGGTGGAGAAGACTTCATCTTTTATACACAAGGTCAAGGGTTCAAAACTCAACTTGGACATCCACATTTCTTTTTGTTTCATAACACTCCCCCTTGGATGTCCAAAGGAGGAACATTATATTGCCTCGTTAAAAACCTTACCAAAGAAAAACCCAGTGGGAAAAAACTTTGGTTAAGGGAAAAAGAGTACAATAATATGCTCCCCCTGATGAAGACATCACTGAACATCTTTAAGATGACGCATACCAATTCCACGAACTAATTTCTTGAATGTAGCCGTGGGTAATGCTTTGGTGAATAAATCTGCTAAGTTCTCACTTGAACGGATCTGTTGAATATTGATTTCACCTTTCTTCTGAAGGTCATGAGTGAAGAAGAACTTCGGTGAAATGTGTTTTGTTCTATCTCCCTTGATGTATCCTTCCTTTAATTGAGTGATACATGCTGCATTGTCTTCATATATTGTCGTTGGAGTATCATCCACAGATAGACCACATGCTCCCCTAATGTATCGAGCAATTGATTTAAGCCATACACACTCTCGACTTGCTTCATGAATAGCGATTAGCTCAGCATGATTTGAAGAAGTGGCAACAAGTGTTTGCTTAGTGGAACGCCAAGATATAGCAGCACCTGCACTCATAAACAAATAACCAGTTTGGGATCGCGCTTTATGCGGATCCGAAAGATATCCAGCATCTGCAAAACCAACCAAGTTTGATTTGGAATCTTTTGCATAAAATAACCCCAAATCAATAGTTCCTTGGAGGTAGCGTAATATATGTTTGATGCCATTCCAATGCCTTCGTGTTGGACAAGAACTATATCTTGCTAACAAATTAACAGAAAATGCAATATCAGGCCTTGTGTTGTTAGCAAGATACATTAGTGCACCTATTGCACTAAGATATGGCACTTCTGGACCAAGAATTTCTTCATCTTCTTCCCGAGGTCGGAAAAGATCCTTTTTCACATCAAGAGATCGAACAATCATTGGGCTACTCAATGGATGTGCTTTATCCATATAAAATCGTCTAAGTACCCTTTTGGTATAATTTGATTGATGAACAAAAATTCCTTTATCCAAATGTTCAATTTGTAGGCCAAGACAGAATTTTGTTCTCCCAAGATCTTTCATCTCAAATTCCCTTTTCAAATAATCCACTGTTTTTGAGATTTCCTCAAGGGTTCCAATGATGTTCAAATCATCAACATAAACAGCGATTATAACAAATCCATGTTCATATCTCTTTATAAAAACACATGGACAAATTTGATCATTGGTATAACCTTCTTTTAGTAAATATTCACTAAGTCGGTTATACCACATACGCCCTGATTGTTTCAGTCCATATAAAGATCTTTGCAACTTTATTGAATAAAATTCTCGAGGACTCGTTTTATGCATTTCAGGCATTTTCAGTCCTTCAGGGACTTTCATGTAAATGTCACTATCAAGTGACCCATACAGGTAAGCTGTTACAACATCCATTAGTTGCATATTTAGCCTTTCAAGTACACTTAGGCTAATGAGGTATCGTAATGTTACAGCATCCACGACAGGGGAATATGTTTCATCGTAATCGATACCTGGTCTTTGAGAGAATCCTTGAGCTACGAGTCTTGCTTTGTACCTCGTAACCTCATTTTTCTCATTTCTCTTTCTTACAAACACCCATTTGCATCCCACAGCTTTGACTCCATCAGGTGTTCGGACGATTGGGCCAAACACTTTTCGTTTTCCAAGAGAATTCAATTCTACTTGTATTGCTTCTTTCCAGTTAGGCCAATCGTCCCTATTTTGACATTCTTGAATGGATCTTGGTTCATGGTCCATATCATCATTCATGATATTTAATGCTACATTATATGCAAAATAGTCATCTAAAGTGACTTCATTTCTATTGCATATTTCCTCGACATTAATATAATTTATCAAAATTTCTTCACTTTTCTCAATCTCAGGTATATGAATTTCTTTAGGGACTTCATTCCCTTCAAATTCATTTCCTTGACTTTTCTCATGAATGTCATTCATGTTGATATCGTTATTCTCATCAATACCATTCTTTGTATTGACTTTCCTTTTTCGAGGATTTTTATCCTTTGAACCAATAGGTCTTCCACGCTTCAAGCGTACTTGGGGCTCATTCCCAGTTTGACCTTTTGGGATATCAACACTAGCTGGGACATTAGCTGCTGGGATATAAGATTTTGTTACCCGTTTTGGATCAACAAATGCATCTGGCAGTCTATTTGCCAAGTCTCGCAAATGGATTATCTTTTGAACTTCTTGTTCACATTGTTGAGTTCTAGGATCTAGATGAAGCAATGATGGAGCATTCCATGTTATTGTCCTTTCCACAACATCATTTCGTTCCCTTAGTGTGGGAAAAGATGCTTCATCAAAGTGACAATCTGCAAAACGTGCAGTAAATAGATCTCCCGTCAATGGCTCAAGATATTTAATTATAGAAGGAGATTCATATCCAACATATATTCCCAATTTCCTTTGTGGACCCATTTTAGTGCGTTGGGGTGGAGCAATGGGAACATAGACTGCACATCCAAATGTTCTCAGATGGGAAATATTAGGTTCATGACCAAATGCTAATTGCAATGGAGAGTACTTATGATAACTTGTCGGCCTAATACGAATTAGTGCCGCTGCATGCAAAATAGCATGTCCCCATACAGTAGAAGGGAGTCTACTTTTCATAAGTAATGGTCTAGCTATTAACTGTAGCTTTTTAATAAGTGATTCTGCAAGACCATTTTGCGTATGAACATGCGCTACTGAATGTTCAATATCAATCCCAAGTGATTTACAATAATTATCAAAAGCTTTGGATGTAAACTCTCCAGCATTATCCATTCGGATTGCTTTAATTGGATAGTCAGGAAAATGTGCTCGTAATCTTATTATCTGAGCAAGTAATCTCGCAAATGCTATATTGCGAGATGATAATAAGCATACATGTGACCATCTAGTTGAGGCATCAATTAGGACCATAAAGTATTTGAAAGGTCCACATGGTGGATGTATAGGCCCACATATATCACCTTGAATTCGTTCTAGAAATGCAGGTGATTCAATACCAACTTTGGTTGGTGATGGCCTTATGATCAATTTCCCTTGAGAACATGCAGAACAGAAAAATTCATTTCCTTGAAATATTTTATGTTCTTTCAAGGCATGGCCATTTGTATTTTCAATAATTTTTCTCATCATCACATATCCAGGATGACCCAATCGGTCGTGCCAAATCTTAAAGTCATTTAGATCAGTAAACTTTTTGTTTACAATAAGATTGGCTTCAATAGTACTTATCTTTGCGCAGTATAAACCAGATGGAAGAGCATGAAATTTTTCCAATACATATTTCTTTCCAGACATTGCCTTTATAACTTGAAGGAATTCTTGATTCCTTTCTTCTATAGTCTCAACATGATATCCGTTATTCCGAATATCTTTAAAACTCAATAAATTTCTGTGAGACTTTGGAGAGAACAATGCATCATTTATTATAACTTTTGTTCCTCCAGGCAATAATATATTGGCTCTTCCAGAACCTTCAATCATTTTTGCACTACCACATATTGTAGTGACAAATGCCTCATTCTTTTTCAATAGGCAGAAATATTTTGCACTTTTAAGAATTGTATGTGTGGTTGCACTATCCACAATACATATGTCTTCTTCATTTGCCTTGGATTTAATCACAAGTGATGATGTGCCCATTTTTGTTTCTTCAATAAAGCAAAGACAATATATTTAGAAACATTACATAGTAGTAAACAAAATGCATCATATATATCTAATATAAGCTTAGACAAAATACATCATATGTATCTAGTAAGTTTAGAGACAAAACAACCATTTTGTTTCAAATATAACATATATATCTAATGAGCTCAAAAGTAAATATAACATCAATCTTTCTTATCTATTGGCCCGAGGTAATCTTCCACATCCAGATGTGTGATATCAAAATCGTCATTCATAAGAACATTGTTGGACTCTATATTCTTTCCTTTCTCTTTCAGGGATGCTTGATAGAGATCCACAAGGTGCTTAGCAGTACGACAAGTGCGTTCCCAATGGCCAGTCATGCCACAACGATAACATATACTTTCAATATTTTTGGGATGATTTTCACGTTTTTCCTTGTCATGTTTTGCACCACTATTTTCCCCTTTTCGGTGGTAACCTTTATTTTTGAAATTATAACCACCATGACAATTTTGTCCACGACCGGGATTATAACCACGGTTTCGTCCATGGCCACGGCCACGGCCACGACCACGACCACGACCTCTTGTATTTTCATTGTGATATGACACACCATTCGCCTCAGAGAATGGGATTGAACCAGTAGGTCGTGCCTCGTGGTTTTTCATCAGGAGCTCATTATTTTGCTCAGCCACAAGAAGGCATGAAATCAACTGAGAATATTTGGTAAAACCCTTCTCTCTATATTGCTGTTGAAGCACAATATTGGATGCATGAAAAGTAGAGAAGGTTTTTTCAAGCATATCCTCATCAGTAATTTTTTCTCCACATAATAATAACTGAGAGCTAATTTTGAACATAACAGAGTTATATTCGCTCACAGTTTTGAAATCTTGCAATCGCAAGTGAAGCCAGTCATAACGGGCTTTCGGGAGAATTACTGTCCTCTGGTGATCATATCTTTCTTTCAACATTTTCCAGAGTTCAAAGGGTTCTTTCACAGTAAGATATTCATCTTTTAACCCTCGGTCTAGGTGATGGCGAATGAAAATCATTGCCTTTGCTCGATCTTGCATCGACGCATCACTATTTTCTTTTATAGTTTCACCAAGACCTTTTGCATTTAGATGCATCTCAGCATCCAGTACCCATGATAGGTAATTTTTTCCGGATATATCAAGTCCCACAAATTCAAGATTTGTAAGGTTTGACATATTGATAATATTGAATAAAATATTATAATTATATAAAGAAAGATTACCTGTATAATAATTGCACTCGAGGCTTCGTGCTGATAACGTGTTGTGAATAATACTAATAATAAAATAATAATAACAATACTAATATTATGAAGTAGAAGGGGAACAGCAGTACGGATGGGAGAGTTGAGAGAATATGATTTAGCTTTTCATATATTCTGCATATCCAAGATCATGGAGGGAAGGGGTATTTATAGTGTTGAGATTTAGGAGGTAATAAATATTAAATTCGCATAAGGTGGACAGGTAGCAAAGCTAGCCTAGTTGGTAGCTGAAGATGAAGCATTGCTGTGTCATGCTTGAGGTCCTGAGCTCCATTCCCTGTTGCTGCTTCTTGGAACTTGTAATCAGCTTTTTGGAGAATTATGAACCACCATTTAATGTGACTTAGCAGTAAGTATTACTTATGGTCGAAGTAGCTTGGTGGAGAAGACTTCATCTTTTATACACAAGGTCAAGGGTTCAAAACTCAACTTGGACATCCACATTTCTTTTTGTTTCATAACAATAACATTCTTTTTCTTTTTCGTCTCATTTCTTTTACTCAGCAGTTGACATTTTACATCTTCAACTTTTACGACATTTCAAAGTAAATTGTTGATTACTGCTTTCAAACTAATTAAGAGAAGTAAAGGAAATACTAGTAATAAAGTGAAAAAAATGTACTATCTCCGTTCCATTTTGTTTATCTGGTTCAGTTAACGAGGCTTGACTGAAGTTATGTTTAATTCAATTTTTCGTAATATATATAAAATTTATATATTTAGAAACTACATTAAAAGTACTATTAAATACAAAAAATTAAATTTAAAAATAATTAAAAATTACTAAAGAAAATAAGTAATGAAAAAATGGTTGGTTTGACCAATGAATAATAGACATGATAGGTAAAATGAGACAGAGGGAGTGGTACTTTTAAGTCAAGTTAATTTTGATTCCCTTCAACCAAATGTGTAGGGATGTGCAAACTTCGATAGAATTTCGATTAACTGACTGGACCGATACACTAAACCCTACACAATAGTATTGCAATTTTTTTTTCACTTTATTACTAGTAATTTTTTTTTTTTAAACTTCCCTTAATTATTTTAAAAACATTTAGCTATAGGAGTATTTTTGTTTGTTAAAGAGTATTGAAATGAAGGATAATCATTATTTTGGTCCTTCAATTGTTTTGCAATTGTCAATTTAGTCTATAATTTTCAATTTGAATGCTTTAACCCTCCAATTGTTTTAAATTTTGTCAATTATATCTTCTAGGGTAACTAATGATTGACTGATGAAATAGTGGTTAGGGGATTTAATTGACGAAATTTAAAACAATTGGATGGTCAATTCGTTCAAATTGAAAATTAGGAACTAAATTGATAGTTACAAAACAATTGAGCGACTAAAAAATAATTTTTTTTTTAAATGAATTTACAAAGAAAACAAAGTTATTGTCTGATGCTTTTGACTTAAAATATGTTTTCCACTTATTTGATGTTTGGTTTAGGAGGAAACTGATCATTATTAATTTTGGGATCAAGATTTACAATGTGAGGGAGTATATAATGGATGTGTTTGAAGCTATTTTGCTTGATATCCACTGCATCATTGTCTAGTACATCCCAATTTGATGATTGGCTCTTTTTATATATCATTGTGTGTAAAAAGTAATATTTGTTATATATAATAATATAATAATAATAATAACTATTATGAAGAAAAGGCAAAGCTAATTTAACTGGAATGAGAGACAGAGAGAAGTAGAGATTATATATATATTCATTCGTATTTTCCTTGCTCTAAGATGAAACAGGTGAGGGGTATTTATAGCATTCGGATTTAGAGTTAATGAATATAATATTTATACAAAATAGCCACTTGTTGGTGCTAGCTTGGCTGGTTGATCAAAAGATAATGTAGCTCACCATAGACCTATAGGTCTTAGGTTCTACTCCTTGCAGTAGCATTTTATGCAACTTGTGATCAGCTTTTTAGAAAACTGTGAACCGCCATATAATGTAAGAAAAGACTTAGCAGCAAGTGTTACTCATGGTTGAAGTGGCTTGGTGGAGAAGACTTCATCTTTTATACACAAGGTCAAAGGTTCAAAACTCAACTTGGACATCCACATTTCTTTTTGTTTCATAACACTCCCCTTTGGATGTCCAAAGGAGGAACATTATATTGCCTCGTTAAAAACCTTACCAAAGAAAAACCCAATGGGAAAAAAACTTTGGTTAAGGGAAAAAGAGTACAATAATATGCTCCCCCTGATGAAGACATCACTGAACATCTTTAAGATGACGCATACCAATTCCACGAACTAATTTCTTGAATGTAGCCGTTGGTAATGCTTTAGTGAACAGATCTGCTAAGTTCTCACTTGAACGAATCTGTTGAATATTGATCTCACCTTTCTTCTCAAGGTCATGAGTGAAGAAGAATTTTGGTGAAATGTGCTTTATTCTGTCTCCCTTGATGTATCCCTCCTTCAACTGAGCGATACATGCTGCATTGTCTTCATATATTGTTGTCGGAGTATCATCCACAGATAGACCACATCCTCCCCTAATGTATCGAGCAATTGATTTAAGCCATACACACTCTCGACTTGCTTCATGAATAGCGATTAGCTCAGCATGATTAGAAGAAGTTGCAACAATTGTTTGCTTAGTGGAACGCCAAGATATAGCAGCACCTGCACTCATAAACAAATAACCAGTTTTGGATCGCGCTTTATGCGGATCCGAAAGATATCCAGCATCTGCAAAACCAACCAAGTTTGATTTGGAATCTTTTGCATAAAATAACCCCAAATCAACAGTTCCTTGGAGGTAGCGTAATATATGTTTGATGTCATTCCAATGCCTTCGTGTTGGACAAGAACTATATCTTGCTAACAAATTAACAGAAAATGCAATATCAGGCCTTGTGTTGTTAGCAAGATACATTAGTGCACCTATTGCACTAAGATATGGCACTTCTGGACCAAGAATTTCTTCATCTTCTTCCCGAGGTCGAAAAGGGTCCTTTTTCACATCAAGAGATCGAACAATCATTGGGTTACTCAATGGATGTGCTTTATCCATATAAAATCTTCTAAGGACCCTTTCGGTATAATTTGATTGATGAACAAAAATTCCTTTACCCAAATGTTCAATTTGTAGGCCAAGACAGAATTTTGTTCTCCCAAGATCTTTCATTTCAAATTCCCTTTTCAAATAATCCACTGTTTTTGAGATTTCCTCAGGAGTTCCAATGATGTTCAAATCATCAACATAAACAGCGATTATAACAAATCCATGTTCATATCTCTTTATAAAAACACATGGACAAATTTGATCATTGGTATAACCTTCTTTTAGTAAATATTCACTAAGTCGGTTATACCACATGCGCCCTGATTGTTTCAGCCCATATAAAGATCTTTGTAACTTTATTGAATAAAGTTCTCGAGGACTCGTTTTATGTCTTTCAGGCATTTTTAATCCTTCAGGAATTTTCATATAGATATCACTATCGAGTGATCCATACAGATAAGCTGTTACCACATCCATTAGTTGCATATTTAATTTTTCATGCACAGTTAAGCTAATGAGGTATCGTAATGTTACAGCATCCACTACGGGAGAATATGTTTCATCATAATCGATACCTGGTCTTTGAGAGAATCCTTGAGCTACGAGTCTTGCTTTGTACCTCGTAACCTTATTTTTCTCATTTCTCTTTCTTACAAACACCCATTTGCATCCCACAGCTTTCACCCCATCAGGTGTTCGGACGATTGGGCCAAACACTTTTCGTTTTTCAAGAGAATTCAATTCTGCTTGTATTGCTTCTTTCCAGTTAGGCCAATCGTCCCTATTTTGACATTCTTGAATGGATCTTGGTTCGTGATCCATATCATCATTCATGATATTTAATGCTACATTATATGCAAAATAGTCATCCAAAGTGACTTCATTTCTAGTGCATATCTTCTCAGCATTAATATAATTTATCAAAATTTCTTCATTTTTCTCAATCTCAGGTATATGAATTTCTTTAGGAACTTCATTCCTTTCAAATTCATCTCCTTGACTTTTCTCATGAATGTCATTCATGTTGATATCATTATTCTCATCAATACCATTCTTTGTATTGACTTTCTTTTTTCGAGGATTTTTATCCTTTGAACCAATAGGTCTTCCACGCTTCAAGCGTACTTGGGAGTCATTCTCAATTTGACCTTTTGGGATATCAACACTAGCTGGGACATTAACTGCTGGGATATAAGATTTTGTTACTCGTTTTGGATCAACAAATGCATCTGGCAGTCTATTTGCCAACTCTCGCAAATGGATTATCTTTTGAACTTCTTGTTCACATTGTTGAGTTCTAGGGTCTAGGTGAAGCAATGTTGGGGCATTCCATGTTATTGTCCTTTCAACAATATTATTTCCTTCCCTTAATGTGGGAAAAGATGCTTCGTCAAAGTGACAATCTGCAAAACGTGCAGTAAATAGATCTCCCGTTAATGGCTCAAGATATTTAATTATAGAAGGAGATTCATATCCAACATATATTCCCAATCTCCTTTGAGGACCCATTTTAGTACGTTGTGGTGGAGCAATGGGAACATAGACTGCACATCCAAATGTTCTCAGATGGGAAATATTAGGTTCATGACCAAATGCTAATTGCAATGGAGAGTACTTATGATAACTTGTCAGCCTAATACGAATTAGTGCCCCTGCATGCAAAATAGCATGTCCCCATACAGTAGAAGGGAGTCTACTTTTCATAAGTAATGGTCTAGCTATTAACTGTAGCCTTTTGATAAGTGATTCTGCAAGACCGTTTTGCGTGTGAACATGCGCTACTGAATGTTCAATATCAATCCCAAGTGATTTACAATAATTATCAAAAGCTTGGGATGTAAACTCTCCAGCATTATCCATTCGGATTGCTTTAATTGGATGGTCAGGAAAATGTGCTCGTAATCTTATTATCTGAGCAAGTAATCTTGCAAATGCCATATTGCGAGATGACAATAAGCATACATGTGACCATCTAGTTGATGCATCAATTAAGACCATAAAGTATTTGAAAGGTCCACATGGTGGATGTATAGGCCCACATATATCACCTTGAATTCGTTCTAGAAATGCAGGTGATTCAATACCAACTTTGGTTGGTGATGGTCTTATAATCAATTTTCCTTGAGAACATGCAGAACAGAAAATTTCATTTCCTTGAAATATTTTATGCTCTTTCAAGGTATGACCATTTGTATTTTCAATAATTTTTCTCATCATCACATATCCAGGATGACCCAATCGGTCGTGCCAAATCTTAAAGTCATTTAAATCAGTAGACTTTTTGTTTACAATAAGATTGGCTTCAATATCACTTATCTTTGTGCAATATAAACCAGATGGAAGAGCATAGAATTTTTCCAACACATATTTCTTTCCAGATATTGCCTTTGTAACTTGAAGGAATTCTTGATTCCCTTCTTCTATAGTCTCAACATGATATCTGTTATCCCGAATATCTTTAAAACTTAATAAATTTATGTGAGACTTTGGAGAGAACAACGCATCATTTATTATAACTTTTGTTCCTCCAGGCAATAATAGATTGGCTCTTCCAAAACCCTCAATCATTTTTGCACTACCACATATTGTAGTGACAAATGCCTCATTTCTTTTCAAAATGCAGAAATATTTTGCACTTTTAAGAATTGTATGTGTGGTTGCACTATCCACAATACATATGTCTTCTTCATTTGCCTTGGATTTAATCACAAGTGATGATGTGCTCATTTTTGTTTCTTCAATAAAGTAAAGAAATATATTTAATTAGAAACATTATATAGTAGTAAACAAAATACATCATATATATATATATATATATATATATATATATATATATATATATATATCTAATAATTAAGCTTTAGAGACAAAAACAACCATTTTGCTTCTAGTACAACATATATATCTAATGAGCTCAAAGATAAATAACATCAATCTTTCTTTTCTATTGGCCCAAGATAATCTTCCACATCCAGATGTGTGATATCAAAATCGTCGTTCATAAAGACATTGTTGGACTCTATATTCTTTCCCTTCTCTTTCAGGGATGCTTGATAGAGATCCACAAGGTGCCTCGCAGTACGACAAGTGCGTTCCCAATGGCCAGTCATGCCACAACGGTAACATATATTTTCAACATTTTTGGGATGATTTCCACGTTTTTCCTTGTCGTGTTTTGCACCACTATTTTCCCATTTTCGATTGTAACTTTTGTTTTTGAAATTATAACCACCATGACGATTTTGTCCACGACCGGAATTATAACCACGGTTTCGTCCATGACCACGACCACGGCCACGACCACGACCACGACCTTTTGTATTTTCATTGTATTTGCCTCAGGGAATGGGATTGAACCAGTAGGGCGTGCCTCGTGGTTTTTCATCAGTAGCTCATTATTTTGTTCAGCCACAAGAACGCAAGAAATCAATTGAGAATATTTGGTAAAACCTTTTTCTCTATATTGCTGTTGAAGCACAAGATTGGATGCATGAAAAGTAGAGAAAGTTTTCTCAAGCATATCCTCATCAGTAATTTTTTCTCCACATAATAACAACTGAGAGCTTATTTTAAACATAGCAGAATTATATTCGCTCACAGTTTTGAAATCTTGCAATCGCAAATGAAGCCAGTCATAACGGGCTTTCGGGAGAATTACTGTCCTCTGGTGATCATATCTTTCTTTCAACATTTTCCAGAGTTCAAAGGGTTCTTTCACGGTGAGATATTCATCTTTTAACCCATGGTCAAGATGATGGCGAATGAAAATCATTGCCTTAGCCCGATCTTGCATCGAGGCATTATTATTTTCTTTGATAGTATCACCGATGCCCTTTGCATTCAAATGTATCTCAGCATCCAATACCCATGACAGGTAATTTTTTCCAGATATATCAAGTCCCACAAATTCAAGATTTGTAAGGTTTGACATATTTAAGATATAGGATAAAATATTAGGAAATATATAAAGATAGTTTACCTATATAGTAGTTGAATCTGAGACTTCGTGCTGATAACGTGTTATATATAATCATATAATAATAATAATAACTATTATGAAGAAAAGGCAAAGCTAATTTCACTGGAATGAGAGACAGAGAGAAGTAGAGATTATATATATATTCATTCGTATTTTCCTTGCTCTAAGATGAAACAGGTGAGGGGTATTTATAGCATTCGGATTTAGAGTTAATGAATATAATATTTATACAAAATAACCACTTGTTGGTGCTAGCCTGGCTGGTTGATCAGAAGATAATATAGCTCACCATAGACCTATAGGTTTTAGGTTCTACTCCTTGCAGCAGCGTTTTATGCAACTTGTGATCAGCCTTTTAGAAAACTGTGAACCGCCATATAATGTAAGAAAAGACTTAGCAGCAAGTGTTACTCATGGTTGAAGTGGCTTGGTGGAGAAGACTTCATCTTTTATACACAAGGTCAAAGGTTCAAAACTCAACTTGGACATCCACATTTCTTTTTGTTTCATAACAATATTCATGAAGTTATTGTAGTATAGGGGTGATTAGTGAGTATTACTCCTTGTTATGTGGGTCACTCGGGTTCGATCCTCAGTAATGGTGATTTTTGGTTTTCTTGTGTTTTAGGATAAACAGTAACAGACAAAAAAATCTGACCTACCGAATTCAAATCAGTGACCTAAGAATACTCCACTCTACTAATTGAGTTAATGTCGCTTACATTGTTAAGGCCCTTCACAAATAAAATAGGAGTACGACAAATATCTTATTATGGAAATAAAATAGGAGTACGACAAATATCTTATTATGGTTAGAGACTGGGAGCTAAACATAATAGTGCGTGAGGACGTCTCCGGCAGCCATTTTTCGGCGAAAAATTCCAGATCTGCTCGACGGCCCTCCGCGATTCCTCCTGTGCTATCAGATTTATTTTTGGTCGCCATGTTTTCTGACGGAAATTCTGATAATTCGAATATTTCTCCAGCCAGTAATTTACCTACTTTTTCGAGCTCTATTTATGTGCCTAATTTGTTTGGAAGCCTGGTGAACACATCTGAAAAATTATGTGGTTCTCAAAATTACCAATCTTGGTCGGATGCCGTAGAGTTATGGTTTATGGGCCAAGGGGTTGCTGACTACTTACAAAAGGGTGTGGATAAAGTACCGGAAAAAGAAAAGAAAATTTGGCAAATGTTAGATGCTCAACTATGTAGCCTCCTTTGGCAGTTTCTTTCTCCACACTTGTTGACCCTATTCCGGTCCTTTAAGACATGTGTCGAGGTATGAAATCAAGCTAAATCTCAATATACTAATGGTGTCTCGCAATTCTACAATATTGTTGATAATTTAGTTAATCTAAAGAAAGAAGGGATTGATATGGAAACTTTTCTTGGCAAAGCCCAAAGTTTGATTGCTGAATTTGGTACACTCATGCCTATTGGCAGTACACTCACAGAGCAACTTACCCAACGAGATAAATTCTTTGTAATACTTCTCTTAACCAAAATAGGTCCAGAGTTTGAAAGTATCCAGAATCAAATTCTTGGAAGCAACACTATCTCGGGGACCACTGAGTTGTTTAAACGTCTCTTGCAAGTAACCTCCCTTCCAGTTTCTCACACATCCACAACCGAATAATCTGCTCTAGTCACAGAGGGATGTCGTGCACGAACTAAAGATCGTGGTGGATAGAAAAACACTAGAGTTTGTGATTATTGTAATAGAACTGGACACACACGAGATCAGTGTTAGAAACTTCATGGGAAACCGGTACTTGCCCAAGCAAGTGTTGCTTAATCTCAATCTGGAGAACCGAATTCTTGAACCTAAGTATTACTTTCAAAATTCATGAGCATGTGGTATATCATTATCTTGTTGCATTGTGAAGTTGTTGAGATGTGACATGCATAAGTTTGGTGCTTGATATATATATATATATATATATATATATATATATATATATATATATATATATATATATATATTATTTATATCAGTGAGGTTTTGGAGGACCCGTTCGGACTATGTCCTTTCGGAGTAAAAGAAAAAGTAACGGACATTGCAATCCGACAGATTTATCATGTAACGCGGCGTATTCCCAAGTTACGAGGTTGGAGACTGCCCGTCAAGCTTGGAATCCTGGTTAGGGGGTGTGCACACTAAAAGTACAATACCTGATTCCACAGAGTATGAGTATTGGAACCACGAGATTGGTTCTGTAGGCGAGTTGAGTATGTGGCTGGCTAGACTGCCGAGCCGGTTAGGTCCATTCACGATTCGTGAAGACCTACCTCCCCACGAGTTAGAGGTTCCATAGTTACGGATGTGGCGGATGCACGAGATTACACCGTACGCTAGGGCTTCGCTGAGACGGAGTACCTGCCTCGCACAAGAAGAGAAATGAGAAGTTTGAGAAAGTTTGAGCAAGAAAGATATCGAGTCAAAAGACTCAAGAGAAAGAAAGCGAGTCTTCGTGACTCTAAGAAACCTCCACATAAAAATATTCTATTTTACAAACGAGTGTATGGGTATACTTATAGTATTGCACGAGATTGCATAATGAGAATGTTTGCACGAGACTGCATTTGAGTATAGTATTGCACTAGTTTGCATATGAGAACGACTAACCGAGATTGTATATTGAGCATGATTGCTTTAATTGCATTTTGATGTCTTATATATCTAGTTTGCATGATGAGAACTTGAAAGCATGAAGATAATTTCGTATTGGTTGTTAGTATGAGATTGATTGATAGCATGAGTTCGTTGTGATGAGATTTGTTATGAGAAATATGTGTTGGAGTATTTATATTGATGTGTTTTATATATTTGAAGCATGCCTGTTGATATTATAGGTTGCAAGCATATAGAAAGTGTATGATGTATCTTAAAGTTGTCCAAGTGTTGAGATTGCTTGATTAGAGTTTGTGAACAAATGTTTTTCCAAAGTATATACTGTAGTACTTTACAGGGTTGAGTGGAGTTATACTTAGCTTCGTGCTAACGGGTGTTTTCTATTTGTCTATTTGCAAAACCCCTTTCAGGTGGGTCCAGCGTTTGAGAGTTGTTCGCGTTAGACTAGTTTAGTAGTTCTAATAGTCTAAACTTTTGTTTTATTTTATGATGTTATGGATTATGGTTGTAGACTTTTGTCTTGGATTTATGGATGTAGACACCCGGGTACTTTTCCCCAAGTTACTTTAATGTAGTAAATTTCGTATGTTAGTTTGATTTGATGTTTAGTTTTACCCTTAGCCTGTGCAATCACCGTGGGAAGGTGGTTGTGGCGGTGACATTCCCACTAAGTTTGTTAATAAAGTTTGATTTTCCGCTGCTTAGTTTATCTTAATTTGGTTTTAGATCTTTAATTATGTTTAAGAAAAGTGGGGTGTTACATAAACAAATTAGACATTAAATTACTTATGTTGAACTTCTCATATATAATCTTGCATTGATATACTTTCAAATATTTATTTAATTATAAACATTGGGTAGAAAAAATGACCGTCAAATTATTAAATCAAATGAATAGTTCAAATGGTTCATATTTTAATTTTTCCTTGAGATTTCCTAATTTATCTTTAATTATATGATTATCCGATCCGTTAACTTTTTCATTAAGTACCGTTAATTCACCGTTAGTCTAATTCTGATATTAAAGTCTAATATAGACTTATAACTACAACATTAATCTTTTTTTTTTTGAAAGCCAAATAATTTGATATATTAATGAACGAACATAGTAATAGAGTCAGGTGAGATTACATCCCAGTACATAGGCTGTTCCTGATCGAAAGCTAACGAAGCTAGTGTATGAGCATGCATATTAGCAGTTCTGGAAATATAATGTAAAGAACAGTAATTAAATAATGACATAGTTGTCCTGCACTGGTCCGCAATGACCCCAACATAAGATCGAGTTCCGGTACCTCTTGATGTTATCATGTTACGCAACTCCATGCAATCTGTGAGTAGATCAACCATCTGTATATCGCGCCCTTTAAGCCATGATAGGGCTTCCTTGCATGCTAGAGCTTTTGCCATAATAGGTGAAAAAGCACCAGGTAGTGTCCCCGCCGTGGCTGCCATAAAAACACCTTCGTGATTGAGTAACACAACTCCGTATGTCGCTTCCCCCGTGTGTTGTCTGTAACCCACGTCGAAATAGCACCTGAGCCCATGTGGTTCGGTCTCCGGCATCACCGCGGCATGCGGCTAGTCTGTCACTCGTCTCAGCCTGGTGAAGGCTTCCTCGATCAGCACCGCCCTCTTCACTGTAGCTGCAGGCCGTGGCAAACTTCTTTCCCATAGCGCCGAATTTCTTGCTAGCCACAAGTAATACAGAATCCCGACGGCCAGCCGTACCTGCCCCTCCGTCAACGAGTCCATCACGCCTATGAACCATGATTGGAAAATATTAGTTAGAATATTCGTGACAGGTAATCCCGAAATATTCCAAACCATTTTAGAGTAATCACATAAAATCAGTGCATGCATAATATTCTCCTGTGTATTGCCACACATAGGACATATAGGATCCACCTCCACTCGTTTAACAATTAAATTATCAGTGGTGGGTAGTATGCCAGACATAGCCCTCCACAAAAAGATTTTCCACTTGGGTGTCACTCTTAATTTCCACAATGTAACCCATTTATCAAAAGCTCCTGGGTCATCAGAATAGTCCCCCATAATACGCCTATAGGCATTCTTAACCGTGTATATTCCTTGTGTGTCCCCCTTCCAATACCATGTGTCATCATAATCTGGGCTAATTGGTATTATTGAGATTCGGTTCACATCTTCAGGAATAAATAAATCATTGAGAATATGTGGATCCCAGGTACCTGTATCTTGATCTATGAGGCCACTCACTACTGCTTGTCTTAATTCTTCAGGCATGTGTGTTTGAACCAAAGGACTAGGATCATCAGACAACCAAGGATGTCCCCATATCAATGTATCCCTACCGTTTCCAATCCTTCTGCGCACCCCGGCACAGACTAGATCATGGGTGGCCATAATACTTCGCCAGCAGTGACTTGGACTATTCCCTATGGTAGCATCAATAGAAGTGGTCGTAGGATAGTATCGAGCCTTATAGATCCTTGCTACCAAAGTGGTAGGTTCTGTAAGAAATCTCCATGCCTGTTTCCCTAGCATGGCCAGATTAAATGCACGAAGGTCTTTAAAACCTAATCTTCCATATTTCTTAGGGATGCATAATTTATCCCAACCTTTCCAATGTATTCCACGATCTGCACCTGTCCCCCACCAATATTTGTTCATAGTACGTTGTATAGACAAACACTGATTTAAGTAACAAAAAAACACTCATAGAGAATGTAGGCATAGACTGAGCCACACTTTTTAAGAGAACCTCCTTTCCAGCCTGTGAGAGTAACTTTTTGTTCCATGATCCAATTCGCTGCCTGATTTTATCCTCAATATATGCAAATACAGCCTTTTTATTTCTTCCTATAAAGGAAGGAAGCCCCAAATATTTCCCAAAATTGGATGCCAGTTCCACTCCCAAACACCACGCCACCTGCTGTCTCTGCGCCATCTGGGTATTTCTACTAAAACAAATACTTGATTTATTATAGCTCACCATTTGGCCAGACAATTTCTCATATCTAATCAGACATTGCTTAACAACAGCTGCTTCCTGAATATTAGCTTTGAAAAACAACAGACTGTCATCTGCAAAAAACAAGTGTGAGACCGGTGGTGCCCCTCTAGCTACCCTACATCCATGTATAGCCCCATCCATCTGTGCTCTCTGTAATAGCATTGAAAGTACCTCCGCACAAATAATAAATAAATAAGGAGAAAGAGGATCTCCCTGTCTCAGTCCACGAGTTGGGGTCACACATCCACCCACCTCCCCATTTATCATAATTGAATACCTCACTGTGGTAACACACAACATAATAAGGCGGATCCAGTGCTCATCAAAACCGATAACAGTCATCATCTTCTTCAAGAAAGGCCATTCCATCCTGTCATAAGCTTTTGACATATCCAGTTTTAGCGCACTCCACCCCGCACGGCCACACTGTTTCCTATGCAAATAGTGCCCCACTTCCGCTGCTACCAATATATTATCTGTAATCAAACGTCCCGGAATGAAAGGACTCTGGGACTTTGAGATTATTCCTCCCATCAGTGGCTTCATTCTATTCGCAATCATCTTCGCCATTATCTTGTAAACAACATTGCTTAACGCAATTGGCCTCATATCTGCAACTGTCTCAGGTAGTGTTTTCTTAGGGATTAGCACTATATTCGTATCATTCAACCCCTCCGGGAGGGCACCTGAATTCAAAGCATCTATTATAAAATGAGTAACATCATCCCCCACTACACTCCAAAAGTGCTGGTAAAATCCCGGATTCATTCCATCCGGTCCCAGTGCCTTATCCGGGAACATGGAATAAACTGCCTCCTTAACTTCATCCGCCTCATAGGGCCGTACCAACAATGCATTATGTTCTTGAGTAACTCGGGGACTAAAATCCTCAAACAACGGATATGAGCAACTAGAATTATTCGAGGTAAAAATATTTGTATAGTAATCCACTATTACTGCTTTCATCTTATCCCCCTCAACCCACAAATCATCATTATCTTTAATACGTACAATCAAATTCTTTTTCCTACGGGCAGAAGCATACCTGTGGTAAAATTTTGTGTTGGCATCTGCTCCCCGTAGCCAGTGTTGTTTTGCCCGTTGTCTCCAAAATACATCCTCCTGGGCCTCCAGCAGATTCAGCTGATCATCAATCTGCCGGAATTCGGCTAATGCCGCGTGGTCCCTTCGATTGCGGATAGATTCCTGTCGTCGTCGCAGCTGGTCAATACGTTTTCCAAACTTATGAAAACGTTCACCACCCCATCGCATGAGTCTCTCTCCACAATATCGTTGGCACCCAAGCAGTCCTTCAGTTTTCCCATCCTGCCAGGCAGTCTCCATAACCTCTTTACATCCTCCATCTAATAGCCAGGCCATCTCGAACCGAAAACCCCTCGGGTTTCCTCTCCTCGGTATGCATGGTGCATTAATGTTGAGGAAAAGAATCGAGTGATCCGATGTTCTAGTACGAATATTCTCCAGCCATGCATTACGATTAATATCATTCCAACTCGTTGTGGTCAACACTTTGTCAAGTCTTTCCTCAATCCAATTCTGCGTGCCTTTGCCTTTCTCCCATGTGAATTGATGCCCCCTCATAGGCATTTGGGCCAACCCACATTCATCAATTGCCTCCCAAAAACCGCGTAGGAGACTATCAGGATACAGGTTACCACCTCTCTTCTCGTGCTGGAACAAGAGATTATTAAAATCCCCCGCCACCACCCACGGCAATGTGGACCTACCCTTTAACGTGTGCAACAAATTCCATGAATCCCTCTTCTCGTTCCACTTTGGAAAACCATAAAAACATGTCATCCGCCACCGCTTCCCGTCTATCTGTACCCCCACATCCACATGGTTCTTAGAATAACTCAATAACTGTACCGTATTATTCTTTTTCCACAAAAGAGCCATACCACCACTCATTCTATCATTATCAACATAAAATAACCACTCATATCCAAGACTAACACGAATCCGCTCTGCATGTATCCGTGCCACCTTGGTTTCCATTAAGAACACAAAATCTGGCTTCTTACGGGACCCCAGGTCCACAATATGTCGAACTGTTTGTGGATTGCCCAAGCCACAACAGTTCCAGCTTAACGTACTCATGAGGACGAGCGGGGCTGTGCAACAGCTCCCGCCATGGACAAGTTTTTTGAACCCTCTTGCATAATAACATCCTCTCCCTCAAACTCCGTACCCAGTCTTCCACTCTCGGCCTGCCTACGCCTTTTCCCGGTGGCTTCCACCTGCTCTTCGGCCTCCATCCCGCCCCGTACGGGTACGGCGCAACTGGGTCGTATAGTTACCACCCCAGTCACCCCGCTCCCCACCTCTATCGGACGTGGTTTCCCGCCAACCGGCACAAGCCAGCTATCCCCAACCGCTCTAGGAGCGCTCCGGGATCCACCAGCTCGCATATCTGGACCATACGGGTACCGCTCCAATGGGATGCCAGAATCTCGCGCCTTAATGCAAAAATTGTATAGATGTCCCATTAATCCACAGTAAAAACAGAACCTGTGTAACCGTTCATAGCGAAACGTTACCCAAGCCGTGGTCTTATCCCTTTTCAGCAGCTTCATTCGTCGTCGTAACGGTTTATCCACCGGAATAGAAACCCTAATTCGGTGGAAAGTCAACCACGGGGCCCCTTCAAACCGATCATCATGTTTCACAAAGGTACCAATGAAATTTCCAGCTTGATCTAACACCGTCTGAGATGTATATCCTAACGGCATATCGTGTAACTGCACCCACATATCAATTGTGTTCAACGGCACCTCCCCGGGGAGAGTATTTGGCGGTACCTCCCTACAAACCAAGGCGTTATTCTCAAAAGCCCAGGGTCCTCCATCCAAGACATAATCCACGTCCACCAAGGCGTTACAACATTAATCTAATTCTAATATTAAAGTCTTAATAGAACTCTAACCACAAATCCTACTGCCAGAATCTCCTCAAACAATATTAGTATATATTTAAAAATTTTATTTGCTCCCCCTCATGTCCCGTATTTGGTTTCAACCATACCCATACAATTATTTTACTGACAATTATAATCAATCTTGACCATATTATATTGCATTTGTAAACTTAGAATTATCAATTTAAATACGCAAATTCAACATTCAATTATCGATGCTTGAACAATTCTAATATAATCTTGCATTGATATACTTTAAAATACTTATTTAAGAAAAATATTGGGCATTATCTCAATCGCGCAATGCGCATAAAAAACTAGTATAATTGGTATAAGTGAGAATGTGAGTGACTCTTTGAGACATTATTTTGAATGGATTTTACTAATGTGTCAAGCCGCTGATTAGGTTTTATTATTATTACTAGTTCTTTTACGCGCTTTGCGCGAATGAAATAATGCCCAATGATTATTTTTAAATAAGTATTTCAAAGTATATCAATGCAATATTATATCGGAAATGTTCATACATAGGTAAATAAATATTGAATTTGTTTATTTAAATTGGTAATTTAAAGTATATAAATACAATATAATATATGAGAGATTGATTATATTGCCACTAAAATAAATGTTTGCAACTTTGTAATAACGTTAGTCTAAATACTTAGTCTAAAAATGATAGTTTAAATAAATACTACTTTTGATTTAAATTTCTCTAATTCTTCTCAATTCTCTTTTAGGTAGCATTTTCATTGTCTTCATCTTCAGTACATGTCTTTTGTTTTTTTTATTAGTAGTGTGTCATGTGCAATTGGGTTACTGATGGTAGCATAGATGAATTCATCATGCAATGAGATTATGGTGTAGGATTGGTAATAGTAGTTTTTCCCCTACATGTTTCATGCATGTGAGATGTGTGTCGTAGGTTATCATGTGAAAGTATTGAACAAAATATTAATATTTATTATATTTGTATATAATACTTGGTAAATAAATAAATATAACATATTTTGTATTATAACTTTGATATTTAATTACAAGATAATGTAAAAAGAAGACAATGGACAATGTAGTGAATATAATAAATTAATAAATTTGAAGGTAATGAATCTTTGAATTGTAGAAAATAAAGATAATATAACTAATGAAATTAGATCTGCTTTTTAATTTTTTATAATGAATAATTTTTTAAAAGGGAAAATTTTAATTTATGTCCCTCCATTATATGTCAATTATCAATATCACCATTGAATTATTAGTGGTGTAAATGTTACCCCTCAATTTTCAAAACGCGTACATATAATGCCCTCCCGTAGTGTAAATGTTGCACCTCATTTTTCAAAACGGTATATATATTGCCCCTACCGTATGGTACGAGAGGGGCAATATATGTACTGTTTTAAAATTTGATGGACAACATTTACACCATTAATAATTCAGGGCTGACATTGATAATTGACATATTATGGAGGGGCATAAATTACAATTTTCCTTTTTTAAAATAAAAACATTATAGACATCTAATTCTAAATTAATTAAATGCATATGCATTATTTTTTGTTGTAGCTACTAATTTATTTAATTTAATAAGAGTAATAAAGTGACGTACATACTTTTCATCAACAATAATGAAATCATTGATTTTTTAAAAAAAATTTACATTCGTTGTTGAGACAAATTGTTTTAAAAGTTTGTCAATGACAATTGTTACACTTCGTGTAAATAGATGATGATAATAAATAATTCAAAATATATAGTTACAATAGATATTGTTATAATGGTATAGTAAAAATTAATTTACAAATTTCCTTAGAAGTTTTCATGCATTGATAAAATTCTGATGTGTAACTTGTTCAATTAGAGCCAATGGGATGTAACATTGTCAATTATTTTGGAAAATGGTCTTACCGTTTTAGATTCCAGGTGTAGGTCTGACATTGATGTAACAACAATTTTGTCCGATAAAAAAAATAATAGTATAATATTTGTAAAGTAATGTACAATTATACTATTATAAAAATACATACGAAAAATATTAATAGTATAACGACCTAAATCATACCAATAATGCAAAAGTATAATTGAAATAATAAGTTTTGTTCTGATCTAAATAATCAAAAGAAGATTAATTAAACAAAAAAAATAAAACTTAACCTAAATTTGTTTTTTTTTTCTAAATGCATAAAAATCAAATGATTTTTAAATTTATTGATTTATAATCTTTGATGCTTAACTTTGAATGTTATGTATTTAGTCGGGCTAATTATTTGACCAAAGTTTATATTAAATTTTATATTTTATATATATATATATATATATATATATATATATATATATATATATATATATATATATATATATATATATATATATATATTAATGCATTTTTTAAAATATTCATAGTATATGTTTAACAATTATGCCAACTCTAATTGGAATGCGGTTCGAACCTAAAACCTTTCTTATACTGATAAATAGTTAACGGAATATTCTGTTACTAAAGTTTATACTAACGGAATTTAGGTTATTTAAGGGATGAAAATAATATAATAAAGGGTAAATAAGGAAAATCATTAAAAAATACTAAAATCAAAACAATATGAACCATTCATTCTAAGAAACAATAGGACCGACATTTTTTTATTCCAGTTAAGGACCTAACATTATTGGCTCTAGTAGATATTATTATTATTATTATTATTATTATTATTATTATTATTATTATTATTATTATTATTATTATTATTATTATTATTATTATTATTATTATTATTATTATTATTATTATTATTATTATTATTATTATTATTATTATTATTATTATTATTATTATTATTATTATTATTATTATTATTATTATTATTATTATTGTTGTTATTGTTGTTATTGTTGTTATTGTTGTTATTGTTGTTATTGTTGTTATTGTTGTTATTGTTGTTATTGTTGTTATTGTTGTTATTGTTGTTATTGTTGTTATTGTTGTTATTGTTGTTATTGTTGTTATTGTTGTTATTGTTGTTATTGTTGTTATTGTTGTTATTGTTGTTATTGTTGTTATTGTTGTTATTGTTATTATTGTTATTATTATTATTATTATTATTATTATTATTATTATTATTATTATTATTATTATTATTATTATTATTATTATTATTATTATTATTATTATTATTATTATTATTATTATTATTATTATTATTATTATTATTATTATTATTATTATTTGCAATATCCACCGTAACTAATTTCTGTTGTAAATTGTGAATTTTCTTGAAGTGCGTAAGTTCTAGTCCAACAAGTTAGAGATGAAATTTTGACAAGGACATTTATTCAATAACTAATTTTACACGCGTATTGTGCGAATGAGTTAATGTCCAATGTTTATAATTAAATAAATATTTGAAAGTATATCAATGCAAGATTATATATGAGAAGTTCATACATAAGTAACGTAATGTCGAATTTGAATGCAATATTTTCACTTAGCATTTTTGAGAATGATTTCCCCAAAACACCTCTATATTTAAAAAAAAAAAAAATTACTGTAGAGTCATTTCGACTCCTTGAATAACAAGAGCCAGTTTCGCTGGCTCACTGTTAATTTTTGAATTGGAGCCTTAGGTCTCCTTTTATAGGAGCCTCAAGGCTCCCATTCCACTTTTTCCACCGATGTGGAAAAAGTAGCAAAACTAAGGGGTGTCGAATGTTCGGCTCCCCATATGTTTAATTTAATTTAATTTAATTTAATTTTAATTTTATTTCTTTTATTAAATTATTATTATTATTATTATTATTATTTAAAACTATTATTATTATTATTATTATTATTATTATTATTATTATTATTATTATTATTATTATTATTATTATTATTATTATTATTATTATACCCTTAGGTCATTTTACATGTTAATCTAAACAGTTAATTTTTTCAAATATCTTTTTACCAACCGTTAATATAATTCGCTGGTCAAATTCGCTAACGCTAACCGCTAACTGCCGATTGTCAAACAAGGACATTGCGTAGGGGTGTGCAAATTTTGGAGAAATTTCGGTTAACCGACCGAACCGACGAAATTCGGTTAACCGTTTTCGAACCGAAATATTTCGGTTCGGTTAATGGTTAAAGGTTTTCTTAAAATTCGGTTAACGGTTAATTCGGTTCGAAAGTGTCGGTTAACCG